CTAAACTTTTGTTAAGTTACAAAATAGTCCCTCAACTTTGATCTTGTACAATTTGGTCCTTGAATTTTTGACCTTCATTTCAGTTAGGCCCTTTATACATTGCACTTCAAGTCCTTCAACTTTCAAGCTTTTGCATTTGAGTCCCCACCTTCACCATTTTGTTCATTTTTAGTCATTTTTCATCTTTTTTCGCCCTTTTCTTCTTCTTATCGGGGTTTTAGCCTACAAAGTACCGAATAAGTGTGTTTTTCCACACTTATCAGTACCATTCGGAGGAACCGTAGAGGAAACCTGGCCTTTTATGGTACCTGTGAACCTCACAGTATCTCTCCGTCAAACACAATCATTAATCAGGGAGGCACAAAATTTGAACATGAAATCGCCGGTGCATTATACGGACAACATCCCGTCGGAGGACGAAGAGAATCAAGAAATCAGTAGCATGGCGGACTCGATGAGGGCTGTGGAGAAGCTGTTGAATTACAATTTCACTGACAAGAAGCTTTTGGAGGAGGCCTTGACTCACTCCTCCTACACCGGGTCAGCTTCCTATCAGCGACTTGAATTCGTCGGAGATGCAGCTCTCGGCTTAGCCATCACGAATTACGTGTTTTTGGCATACCCGGACGTCGACCAGGGCAAGCTATCCCTCGTGCGCACCGCCAATATTAGTACCGAGAAGCTCGCCCGAGTAGCCATCCGCCACGGCCTGTACGAATATGTACATCACAATGCTACCGCCCTTGATGAGAAGGTGGGGGTGAATTCTTGCTTGGAATCTGTGGCACAAGTGCCATGGGCGATGTAATGTTATTTAAAGTGTAAAAGGGTACAATTATTGGAGCTACATGCACAACAGCTTGATGCAGTACTTCGCTAGTTGGCTTTATCAATCAGTGACATACTAATTATCGCACGTACACATATGACATATATACACTCTGGAGATTTTGAACTTCAGTTTTGAATACAATGTCAACTGGGTTTTCTGCTTGTCTATGATATAAGCAATTTCATACAGATGCATTTATACTTGTCATTAATGTTTTTTTTTTTCTTTTTGTAACTTCTCTTTTGTACATTTACTTGTAGGTGTCTCAGTGTGAATATGTCATGTTGTTTTAAGTTTTAATGAATTTGTGTCCCACTGTTGTGAAAACATGGTAAGACATTAAATAATTTGGAAGACTGTAATAGCTAAACAATTTGGGTGCACACTTTTGAAACAACAATAAGTGTTCGAGTGGTGTTTGGGTGGTGATGTTTATTTTTAACTGGGACATGGCTTTGGTCGAGTTGAAAATGGTGAAGTTGGTTCATATGTCCAATAAGCACTTGACTCGCAGGACATTACCCAAGAATTGTTCGTTGGAGCTGCATTATCAAGTGCTTATTGGGGATTTGAACCACCTTTTCCATTTTGAAGTCTACCAAAATCGAGTCCTTTTCATGGTTGTGCTTCAGGTAATGGAATTTGCAATATCAATACAAGAGGAGGATGATGCAGAGGTGCATGGAGGATTATTGAAAGCACCAAAAGTTCTCGCAGACATTGTGGAGTCCGTGGCAGCTGCAGTATACATTGACTGTAACTTCAATCTGAAGGATATGTGGATGGTTGGTTTTTCCTTTGCCTGTTGTTTTTCATCAAACGTTTCTATGCAATTACTGTATGGCATATGTGCTAATATTTGGCCAAAATGTGTTTGTATTACGCCATGTACAATTTGGTTATTCTTTTTGGTGAAAACAAATTTAAGACATGCCACAAATACATACGATGATTTTAGCTGCGGATGTTCATCCATGATATAATGACTAGCTCTGATACCATGTTAGAAATATTAGGTCTAACTCCACCTAATAAAACCGGCTTATTAGATGAGGATTGCCCTCACCTTATTAAGTGGATCATTTATATTTTTTCAAGTAATGTGGGATTCTAATACGGCCCACCCTTTTCAAATTCAAAGTAATTTTTTATAGAATGAGCTGCAAAATACACCTAAAATTGCTGTATTAGGAAAAACATACATTGGTTATACACATTCTTCCATTCCCTTTTGCTCTAGGTCATTAGAGATCTCTTGGAGCCTATTGTCACGCTTGGTATGCTTGAACAACAACCGCAACCAGTGACAATGCTTTTTGAGTTGTGCCAAAAGGATGGAAAGCAAGTTGACATAAGACATTGGAGAAAAGGAGAGAGAAATATTGCAAGCGTCTATGTTGATGGACATTTTGTTGCTTCAGCTTCTGCCGAGCAAAAAGAAAATGCAAGGCTTCATGCAGCAAAGGCTTCTTTGCAGAAGTTGTCGTACACATCCAGTGACATGATGAGGCCCGACATCTTCAGTGAACTCAATGGGGAAATGGAGATTGAAGGAGCAAAACAAAAACTCCATGAATTGTGTGGCAAGAAAAAATGGCCACGACCAGATTACAAGTATGACTTTTCCTCTCTCTAAGCTCATAATATTGCAATTGCTTTATTTAAATAATCACCCATAAACTTGTTTGATATGTATAAAAACTTTGCTGCTCTGTTGCAAATTTTCAGCAAGTTCAAGGCACCAATTGAGGGAAACTACAGCTGTTCCTTCTGGAATTTGCCAAATTAGCTAGCATGGATGACTATTTAAAACTGAAAAGTAAAGATGGCTTTGGAAAATGATATGTTGGGGAATAAATGTTGAAACAATGCATTTAGTCCGCCTAAAAGTACACATTTATAGATATTTGTATTTTTCATCCCCCTTAGAACCCCTACATTTTGAGTGCAGGGCTATCCATTGACTGTGAACCGGTAGTTTTGTGCATTTGATTACCTTAGTAAACTCACATAACATAAATGGTTTATGTGATACTGTACCAATTACACGTTTGTCCAATATATGTCTACAGAGTAGATACAGAGGTTGGTCATTCTCATGAGAAGAAATATGTATGCTCCGTTCAAATCGAAATAAATGAAAGTATACTATTATCAACGGGAAACAAAAAGACAAGGATAAGAGATGCCGAGAACTCTGCAGCTTCTGCAATGCTTCGTGGTCTAAGAGAATCTAAGTATGTATGATGATGTTCTCCTGTCGTATTTATAGAATTGTCAACATTTCTCCATTTGAATTCTGTGATCAATAATACATCGTCTTTTCATTCCAAATGCATTATGCTGTTAAAGCAAACAGATCTTGCTTCTTGTCACTCGTTGTCATACAATGCTCTTCATAGAATGTTGTCCTTAAAAAGTTTACTTATAAGTAAATAAGTTTTAAAATAAATTTTCTTTTTATTTCTGAAAGTTGAAAATAAGTAAGAATAAATTATCACGAATTCTTTTGAATGTTGCTTGTTTAGTTTTTCGTATAGAATTTCACAAATGTAGTCTTTGAAGGCAGAGAATTCGCATTTCAAACTTCAGACTATTATGCTTTTGTATTTCTTGACATGAGAGCTGCCGTCTTAAAGTGCAAAATATTTCCCACACACTTAACACACATGAACTTCTTCATTCTTTGATCGTCTGTTGGTTGACTATCAGTAATTTCTGTAATTCGATTACCCTGCTTTGATTGATCGATTGTTTATGATTAACTTGGAACATAGTGATATTTCACCTTATAACGTGTTAGATTGCAGTATTCGTTGGAATTTTTTGGAGTGGATTGTGGATTTTCATGCACGCATGTTACTGCCTACTTTTTATCTTTAGAGGCTGTCTGCTGCAGATTTTCTTCTTGATTATTAGTGATTTTGTTATCGTTGAATGATTCAACGGTAAAAAAAATTATCACCAGTTGCAGTCTTTTCTCTCACAAGTGTCAGGCCCAACGTTTAAAAAATCAATTCTTACAAGATGAAAATTTGCACCAGACATTGCCTTAATTAGTAATTGGTCGATGTAGGTATTTGACCATACTATGTTATGTGTAAAATATGGAATGATGCTTCTTTGGGTTGTAATTACGTTTACAAATGTAAAATCAAGGAGAATGAGAAGGAGAAGGAATACTATTTTTGATGGAAACTAAACAATTTCTTTGATAGAATTTTCCTCATTCTAAAATTGAAAAGAGTTCAATTTCTGATCCACCAATTATTACTCATACGCCCCAAGTCTGCCAGAGGAAAATACAAATAATGCAGCAATAAAATAAATTTACCGAAACTAAAGATCCGCAGCAATAAAATATGAGGAAGTGTCTTCTTATCCGACATGACCCTGTCGGAAATCGCCACCACTGCCACAATCATCTCTGCTCTCTCTGGTTAAAGCATTTGACTCCATTCTTGCAGCTTATGAAGGTTTCCGCAATCTAAAACATGTGCTTTCCTTTCACAATTTCAGTATTTTGTGTCTAATTTCATTTGCTATTCTTGTAATTTTCTTAGAATGTTACAGTTGATCAGTAAAAATTTGAACTTTGGCAGTTGATCTAATCTCTCAAGCAGTCAAAGCCCATATGAATTTATTTTCCATTTATTGCTTTTACAGATTTTCTTCTCTCTATTGTATCCACTTGCAAGAATAAGATAAAATTTTATACCTGAGATTGAATAATCAATTTTTTTAACTGGTGATGCTGCAGATTGATCTAAAGCTAAAGACCTGCTGACGTTCATCAGTACGGAAAATTCTTGTTCGAAATGCCAATTCTTACTGCGCAACTGATGTTATAGTTGGGACTACTCGAAATCATCATCTTCAGTCATCGGCCTTTGTTGCTAAATACTGTGCTAAGAAATTGCCCAAGAATTGTTCAATTTTAGCTGTTAATAATGGGAATTCCCCACGAATTTGCCGATACTCTCCTGCCGCTGCATAAAATTTCGTACTCTTCTATTGGTGTGGTTGACTTGTTAATATATCTACAAAGCAAATAATTCCACCATTGGTGCCCAACTTTTGAAAAGAAGCTGGTGGGTAGTGGCAGTTACGATTGGTTTGGTTTGTGGGTGGATTTATTATTTATTTTTTAAAACTTATTTTATATTAGAGAAATGAAAAGTACCATTTTGTCCTTTACAATTTGGTCAAAATTAATCAAATTTTGACTTATTTGGTCAATTAACAATCAAATAGATGTTTTCCATCTATTTGTACTTTAGCCGCATATTTATGAAAGGTTATTATAAAAGGTTAAGGATTTTCGTTGGCACAAAATAAAAGTTAGGATAAATTCTATAAAAATTGAAAAAGTTAGGGATTGCTGATGCAATTTTCCCTTTAAACTATTGGAAGGCCCAAAACTTTAACCGACACACTTCAACTTATGGTGCACTTTTTCCCGCACTTCAATTCACTTTTTGTGGATAAAAACTTGAAAAAGCGCTGGTCGGCTGGTCCCAATTCTTCTATCCAATTTCAGCTAAACCTCTTAATAAATAAAATCTCTATACTAACGTTTTTAGTTGAAAAAGCAAAGTACCGTGTCGGAGGAACCGTAGAGGAAACCTGGCCTTTATGGTACCTGTGAACCTCACAGTATCTCTCCGTCAAACACAATCAGTAATCAGGGAGGCACAAAATTTGAACATGGAATCGCCGGTGCATTATACGGACAACATCCCGCCGGAGGACGAAGAGAATCAAGAAATTAGTAGCATAGCGGACTCGGTGAGGGCTGTGGAGAAGCTGTTGAATTACAATTTCACGGACAAGAAGCTTTTGGAGGAGGCCTTGACTCACTCCTCCTACACCGGGTCAGCTTCCTATCAGCGGCTCGAATTCGTCGGAGATGCAGCTCTCGGCTTAGCCATCACGAATTACGTGTTTTTGGCATACCCGGACGCCGACCAGGGCCAGCTATCCCTCGTGCGCGCCGCCTCTATTAGTACCGAGAAGCTCGCCCGAGTAGCCATCCGACACGGAAGTACCGAGAAGCTCGCCCGAGTAGCCATCCGCCACGGCCTGTACAAATATGTACGTCACAATGCTACCGCCCTTGATGAGAAGGTAGGGGTGAATTCTTACTTAGAATCTGTAGCACAAGTGCCATGGGCGATATAATGTTCTTTAAAGCGTAAAATGGTACAATTATTGGAGCTACATTCACAACAGCTTGATGCAGTACTTCGCTAGTTGGCTTTATCAACCAGTAACATACTAATTATCGCACGTACACATATATACACACTGGAGATTGTGAACTTCAGTTTTGAATACCAAGTCAACTGGTTTTCTGCTTGTCTATGATATAAGCAATTTCATACATGTTAGATAGGTCAAAATTGGTGGCTTAAAGGATAAGACAATTCTTTTTTAAAAGAGGAGATGAGACATGAATTTATAGAGGGCAAAGGAGGTGGAATGAATTCAAACCAAAGCAAAGTTCTCCACCTTCTTTGACCTAGAGTAGGAGAATTCAAGACAAAATTCCTTTCCTTTTTGACTTATTCAAAGTCTTAACAATGAAGAAAGAATTGTCTCATCCTTTGAGCGACCAATTTTGACTTATGGAGTCAAACATCTAACAATACAGATGCATTTATACCAGTCATCAATGCTTCTTCTTCTTCTTCTTTTTTTTTTTTTGGTAACTTCTCTTTTGCACATTTACTTGTAGGTGTCTCAGTGTGAATATGTCATGTTGTTTTAAGTTTTAATGAATCTGTGTCCCACTGTTGTGGAAACATGGCAACACATTAAATGATTTGGAAGACTTTTATAGCTAAACAATTTGGGTGCACGCTTTTGAAACAACAATAAGTGTTTGGGTGGTGATGTTTATTTTTAACTGGGACATGGCTTTGGTCGAGTTGAAAATGGTGAAGTCGATTCATATGTCCAATAAGCACTTGAGTCGCAGGACATTACCCAAGAATTGTTCGTTGGAGCTGCATTATCAAGTGCTTATTGGGGATTTGAGCCAACTTTTCCATTTTGAAGTCTACCAAAATCGAGTCCCTTTCATGGTTGTGCTTCAGGTAATGGAATTTGCAATATCAATACAAGAAGAGGATGATGCAGAGGTGCATGGAGGATTAATTAAAGCACCAAAAGTTCTCGCAGACATTGTGGAGTCCGTGGCAGCTGCAGTATACATTGACTGTAACTTCAATCTGAAGGATATGTGGATGGTTGGTTTTTCCTTTGCCTGTTGTTTTTCATCAAACGTTTCTATGCAATTACTGTATGGCATATGTGCTAATATTTGGCCAAAATGTGTTTGTATTACGCCATGTACAATTTGGTTATTCTTTTTGGTGAAAACAAATTTAAGACATGCCACAAATACATACGATGATTTTAGCTGCGGATGTTCATCCATGATATAATGGATCAAAATATCGTAATAGGCCCAACCTTTTCAAATTCAAAGTATTAGGAAAAACGTACATTGGTTATACACATTCTTCCATTCCCTTTTGCTCTAGGTCATCAGAGACCTCTTGGAGCCTATTGTCACGCTTGGTATGCTTGAACAACAACCGCAACCAGTGACAATGCTTTTTGAGTTGTGCCAAAAGGATGGAAAGCAAGTTGACATAAGACATTGGAGAAAAGGAGAGAGAAATATTGCAAGCGTCTATGTTGATGGACATTTTGTTGCTTCAGCTTCTGCCGAGCAAAAAGAAAATGCAAGGCTTCATGCAGCAAAGGCTTCTTTGCAGAAGTTGTCGTACACATCCAGTGACATGATGAGGCCCGACATCTTCAGTGAACTCAATGGGGAAATGGAGATTGAAGGAGCAAAACAAAAACTCCATGAATTGTGTGGCAAGAAAAAATGGCCACGACCAGATTACAAGTATGACTTTTCCTCTCTCTAAGCTCATAATATTGCAATTGCTTTATTTAAATAATCACCCATAAACTTGTTTGATATGTATAAAAACTTTGCTGCTCTGTTGCAAATTTTCAGCAAGTTCAAGGCACCAATTGAGGGAAACTATAGCTGTTTTCTTCTGGAATTTGCCAAATTAGCTAGCATGGATGACTATTTAAAACTGAAAAGTAAAGATGGCTTCGGAAAATGATATGTTGGGGAATAAATGTTGAAACAATGCATTTAGTCTGCCTAAAAGTACACACATATAAATGACTTTATAGATATTTGTATTTTTATCCCCCTTAGAACCCCTACATTTTGAGTGCATGGCTGTCCATTGAGGAAAGAGTGACAGTGAACTGGTAGTATTGTGCATTTGATTACCTTAGTTAACTCATAAGATAAATTGTTTATGTGATGCTGTACGAATTACAAGTTTGTCCAATATATGTCTACAGAGTGGATAGAGAGGTTGGTCGTTCTCATGAGAAGAAATATGTATGCTCCGTTCAAATCGAAATAAATGAAAGTGTACTATTATCAACGGGAAATGAAAAGACAAGGATAAGAGATGCCGAGAACTCTGCAGCTTCTGCAATGCTTCGTGGTCTACGAGAATCCAAGTATGTATGATGATGTTCTCCCGTCGTATTTATAGAATTGTGAACATTTCTCCATTTGAATTCTGTGATTGATACTACATCATCTTTTCATTCCAAATGTATTATGCTGTTAAAAGCAAACATATTTTGCTTCTTGTCATTCATTGTCATACAATGCTCTTCATAGAATGTTGTCCTTGAAAAGTTTACTTATATGTAAATAAGTAAGTTTTAAAATAAATTTTCTTTTTATTTGTGAAAGTTGAAAATAAGAGTAAATTATCATGAATTCTTTTGAACTTATTTATTTTTTCATATAGAATTTCACAAATGTAGTCTTTGAAGGCAGAGACCTTGCATTTCAAAACTTCAGACTATTATGCTTTTGTATTTCTTGACATGAGAGCTGTCTTCTTAAAGTGCAAAGTATTGCCCAGCCCCTTTTTGGCTGTCACTCCCCCACCCCACCAACAAATTTCTTTACAATTAAATGGAAGAAATCTGTGATAAACTAGTATTCTCTAATATGCGCAATTTGGCAAAAACCCCAACAAGCGGCGCCGTATTATATGTGCAGGCTTCTGTTTGTATGAAATTCCCTCTTCTATCCCTGAATTCATCCATGTTATCCGGTCCACCCACCAAAGCTCCAACAAGAACATTCGGGTTTGGATCCTGGCGTCCGTACCAGTTATCATATCCTTGAGTGCACCCGACAAAACCCTTGCTTTCTCTATATGATTCCATGGATGCACCCCTATGGTGCACCCACATGGGATATGTAGGTCCATAGCCAACCAAGTAGCTCATTCCCATGGGATTAGAACCCAGAATGTAGTCTACCTGTGATTTGACGACGGACAGGATCTCCTGGGGACCCACTAAATCTCCATGGCAATTGAGCATTTGGTTGGTAGACTCAAGATGGTCAGAGTACACTGTCAGTAAAAATGATGCACTAGAAACGTACTGCATGTTGTTCCATTGGCGGGTGTACAGGAGCCCATCTGGGGTGCGTTGCACATTAGTTGAATTGTTTTTGTTCAGGCAAGCACATATGAAATGTTCTGCCTTTGAACGGTATTCTTGGATGGTCTTGCTTTGTTCTTCATTCTTTCCTTCCACTGGCAACTGCAAGAAAAGAAAACAAAAAATTTGGCAAATAATATCAAGAAAATTTGCACAATGTTAAGACAGTACGTTTAACTAGATAGGATCTTAACTTCTCCTTTTTCTCTTAATCAAGGCTAATATTGTCCAGTCTATTAAACAAACACGCCATGTGTGCTTTACATTGGATCCTATTAAGACAAAACTTGATAATTTTTGTCACTACTTTCTAGGATTAAGCCAAATGTACAGAGGCTCGGTTCACATACTTCTTACCGACTCTTACATGTGCAAGACCCACTTCATGAAAAATTGGTTCAAATTTTTTCCTGCCCCTCCTTTGTGTGTGATCTGGAAGCCCCACTTCTGTGAGTGTAGCTTCATCCTACTTTTTATGGCTAATCTGCCGCTAATTATATTTCAATCAAGAAATGCGTTTAATTTGGAAGTAGAGAGATAAAATGAAAGGGATTCGGCATTCATGAGGCTGGTGATGGCTGAAACGAAGGTGAAGTCCACCAAATTATGAGGGTGCACTGTTGAGGGGGTCCCTTTTGTCCCATTGTAATAGGTTAATTAATGAAATGGGATATGATATCCTAGTTGAATCTTTGTTAGAAAAATCAATACATTGATTCAAAAAATAATCATAAATAATTCTTGAAAATAACACCGAATGCCGAAATGTACAAGGTTGGGGAGAGAGGTAATATCATTGCAGCATTGATCTGAACAACAGCATGACACACAAGACAACTCTCAAAGATAGCAAGAGTTGCGTTGGGTCGAATACATGACCACTGGACTACTAGCAAAAAATTTATGGCCGTGTTTTTAGTTTTAAGTGATCATGAAGTCAAATGATTGTTACAATTTGGTCATGCATGATGAAGCTCCAGTTTGGTTTAGCTAAAAATCATATCGATAAAAGTTAATGAGATGCATTGTTAAAAACTTGATAAAAGTTATGAATCTCATGAAATGTATGGATGAATGAGTTTAGAAAATGTGTCAAACGGGGTGAAATGACATCTGAAGTTTAATAACTACCACTAAAAATTGCATGTATAATATTGCCCAAATAAAGCAAAGACTGCAATATAGCATGTGCAATGCAGAAAACGGGGGGTGGGGTGGTACCATTGCAGCTATGATTTGGACACCAGCATACTTGACGTCCCAGCTGAATTCTGTGATGGCCCAAGTGATTCCACCAAAGGACTCGGCATTTTCCATAACATAATTCAAGTAATATAAATTGTCGGTGGCCTTGTATAGCCACACAGCTGCCCATAACAACTCATCCATGTAACCACTCACCGACGTATAATACCCCTTTGCTACTCCAATACTGATGTCGTATTTCCCTCTATACTTGTCACCAAACTCAAACAACTGCAAAACAAACCCTCCTAATTCAATAATCTATACTTACACTGCAAAGAACCGTATTGACAATGAAAATCCGCCCATCTAACATGCCTTGGGAGTTTAATTTCTGCTATATGTTCAAATTCAATATTAATAAACATCAAGGGTATGTTTTAGACTTAGTATTCGACAAATTAAATAGTGTGGTAAATGAACCGTTGTATTAAAGATATAATTTAAATAAACAAGTATTGTCTATTTAGAAAAAATTGCATATTGTTTGATATAAATTTTGAAAGGTGATTTTTATATAAATTTATATGGTTAAAATGTAGGAGAAATTATGAATCCGCGTGCAAAATTAATTTAGGGTCCGTTTGATAGGCAAATGTGGAAAAAAATTTCAATTCCAAATTAGTTGGAAAATAAAAACCCATTAAACCCATATAAATTCGTTTTTCATGAAAACAAAAAAATGCAACTTAAAGTGGTTGTACCTTGAAATTATGTTTCCATTTCCACGTTGCAATCAAACGGTCAAAGTGAAATTCATTTTTCTCGAATGTGACATTTTTCATGGAATTCGTTGCAATCAAACATGATCTTATTGAAAGAATAAGGTTGAAAATAAATTTTAAAGAATTTCTATCAAAAGAATCTAAGTACTTGTTTGGTAGGAATTTTTGGGGGAAGAATTGATTTTTGAATAGTGATATGATGAGAAATGTGTGGTTGAAAATGAGAAATTCTCAAATAAAAAACAAACACCACTAAGTTTGTTGAAAAAGGTGAACTTAGCCTATAAAAGAAAAGATAATTTAAATACATAAATTTATCAGTTGGCTAACTGCCTAAGCTTTTAACCAAAACCGTTCAACAATTATTTAGTAATTTTTTAAAACTTAAAAATCTAATGCATCAGTTCCATAATACTATTTATATGCTTATGGAGTAGTTTTGGTGGACAATAAAGCAGATTACATCATACCCTTGTTAAATTTGGTAAATATCTTGTCTGGCTACTTAACAACCTAATTAACTTACTTGTTGTGCATGATCCAAAAGCAGGTGTGAGTAATGTGGGTTCGTTATCCTAAACACAATCGCCGCCGCCGCCATGGCGGCTGCCGTTTCTCCGGCGACGTCTGAGCCCGGGTGCTCCTCATCCACCTTATAAGCACGCCGGGAAGTCGTCATATCCTCCGGCCGCTGCCAACAGAGGTGGTCGGTGTGGCCATCACCCACCTGAAAATATCATCAAAACATTCATTATAATGCCCCCAAATTGCTATGAAAATTACGACTAATTTCTGACATTTTTGTAGTAATGGACCCACGCAGAAATTCAGGAAAAACTGTTATGGCCGAAATTCAAAAGCAATTCTCCGGCGCGATTGGAGGATATTGTTCATACTTTTTGCAAATTGTCGGCAATCGTGCATATAATGCGCTTCTTTTTTACAAAAATACAAAATTAGAGAGAGAAAAACATGTAACGTACCTGAGCCCAAAGAACATGTGGATGTGTATGTGCTTTAATGAAATAATCAGTTCCCCATTTGATAGCTTCAAGGGCATGGCGATATTCCCCTGCGTCCACAATCCGATCCCGATACTCAACAACACTCCATGAAAGCATTGTAATGGTAAAAGCCATTGGAAGACCAAATTTAACATTATCACCAGCATCATAGTAACCTCCAACCAAATCCACCTGTTTCAAGCAAACGTCGCACAAAATAGACTTTACGAATTCGAATCAAAATTGCAGAATAAATGTTTCGACACAAAAATGTGAATAATCAGAGTAACGTCTAACCAAATCCACCTGTTTCAAGTAAAAAAACCAGGCACAATTATGAATAAACTTCACGAATTTTGACCAAAATTTCATTCATCACACAAATGTAGAAAATCATAGTGACCTCCAATCAAATCCACCCGTTTCAAGCAAAAACCGCACACAATAAACTTCACAAACTTCATCCACCGGTTTCAAGCAAAAATCGATCACATACAACAAACTTCACAAATTTCACAACAAATATGGAAACTACGGGTTATTAAGTGACCAGACCCCCTGTTCTAAGCCATCGGTTAGGCCGGAATGGTGGCGCCAGGAGACTCTCTGGTTGTACGGCAAGCGGCCGGAACGCTGCGCTTCGAAGTAGATGAGACTCTTGGATAGGGCTTCGCCATAGTTGAAGGATTCAGAGAATGGAAATGCAGTAAACAGTGAAATTACAGAAATCAAAAATGGAAATGACATGCACTTGGATTTGCATTGGTTCCTCCTCATTCTTTCTGTATTAGTTTCTGCCATCACTCTCTGTGTCACGACTCCTGCCTTTGCCCCCTCTATATATATGCACATGCGAGGAACGTGCCTATGTTTATGTTTAGAATCATGCTAATTGCTACATATACATTTTCTTTGACAACAAGTTTAACATTGTGCCACGTGTCTTGATATTATTGGACAGTTAAAAAAAAACTCATTCCCGCCCATTTCAATTTTAAACTCAATGGAGTGTAAACCATAATGTACACATGTACAAGTGGTTTTCTCCGTATGTCTATCTGTCTCTTCGTTAAAGAGATATTTATATTGAAGTCACGATGTTAGAGTTAAGAGATAAAGAAAGTTGAGTTAATTGAGATCATAATCACTTGAGCGGTTAATTGGAACGTCGAAGCTCAACACGACCTATCAAGAGGTGGAATGGAGCTTACGTCGAGCTATCAAAAAAGTGGGTTGGGTCAGTGTTGCAACAATATTTATGTCATTAAATATTTATTACAATAGGTCTAATGACCCAAAGCAAGCGACTCAAAATGAAACAAACATTACAACATCATCATTGTGAACAAACATTACAACATCATCTGATCGAGAACATGAGTGCCTAATCCCGTAGGTAGCTTTTTTGAAGATATATGAAGTGAGTTCCCCTTCTTTTTACCTTTATAGGTTGGTATGATCCATTGCTCATCGAGCTTTTCATCACTAACTGTCTTCGAGTTGGGGCATTCACAATCTGCAGGCTGCAGCCTTAGTTTGATAATGATCTACTCGTTCCCTACCATTGAAACCACCATTTGTCTTGAGGATCATCAAAAGTTTGGAGCTTATAAATGCCCTCAACGTGCTTTCTGTTATCTTTAAAAAGGTTGACCCAAGAGGGTTTCGGCGGATCCATCTGTTTTAATTTTGAGTTTTAATAGTCAGATTTCCAGATTCTGTGGCTTCCTCAACAGATTCTGCATCCTCCTCTTCAGATACTGCATCTTCTTCTTCAGAATCAGTTTGTTTACCTTGGATAGAAACATTATTTTTGAGGTTTTGCAGCCGACTCCACAATGCCGTGTCTTCCTTTTCAGATTCTCTGTCTTCTTCTTCAGCTTCTAAGACTTCTTTCTCAGATTCCTCAGATTCTGTGTCTTCCTCTCCAAGTGTTTGAGAAACGCTTGAAGAAGAAACTTTGAATTCTTTACCCAAAAAGGTTAAAAAAAACTCCTGAATCTTCAAGAACACTATCAAAAACTTGCAGGCTGGTTCGAATTTGTCAAGTGGGGATGCAAAATTCGAATATCAATCACATAAAACATCAAATAAAACTGGATGAACAATGCAAACGACCTGCTTGCCAATTACAAATCTTCCAAGAAACACTTGAATCTTCAACGACTAAGCATAAGGAGCTGGCCGAAATTCATATCTTCAAAGAGAGTTCATTTCATAGAGAATCACTATGAATCTGGACAAACTTAACATGAAAACTACACGCTGGATTCGAAATCACCAAGAGATGAAGGTAACATCGAACAATTAAGCAAGAAACTCACAAATGCAAGGAGTGACCAAGTGAGTATTTTTTTCACTAGGTTGATAGCATCTCTTTTTAACCGGACAAGCAAGAAGAAATCTTCTTTCTTTCAATGTATTAGAGTTGTATTTTCCAGAATCTACTCAAATGAACTCCTGGCACATGATAGCTCATCGAACTTTATTTATACACGTGTGTATATTGTACTCTTGATCAGAACTTTAGCACTCAGCAAGGACTTCCTCCACGTGAAATTATAAGACGTTGATTGGCTTGGCTGCACATACCGAATTTACCTAAATCTTGATCAAGGAGGTTCAAACTTACTTTGCTGAAAGTCCTCGAGCATCATAAAATTTAGGGCTGCGCTTCGACTTTGATTGACTTGTACGCACAATCTTGTTTTTAAATGACTTAAAGAATTATTTTTTTGTATCGTGTCAAGAGAAATTATATTAGTTTTTGAAACCTGAGGTCTACGGAAGAGGTAAAAAACTAACCTGGCAAACGGTTTAAATTTTGTGAATTAAATGGCTTGGTCAGTTGGTTAGTATACTGGATACAGAACAGTTATAGGTATTGTTTATTTATTTATTATTTAAAAGTCCCTTCTTTAAACCTGTAGGTTACTAGGTTTTAAGTAGGTGTAGTTGTGGCTTGTGGTGTTATTGTTTTGGAAGCCTAATCCCCTAACCACCCTCCACCCCACCCCACACCCTCAACGAAGCCACAAAGGCAAACCCAAGATTTGTTAGATTGCTTTCAGTCAACCTTCTACTATGTGCTTTGGAGGTAGGGATGTCAATAAGTCAACTCAAACCCCGAGTTTGGCTCTGCTCACTAGGGCTCTTGCTCACTTTGGGGCAAGCCAAGCAAGAACCACTTATGGGAGACAAGACGAGTCACCCATGGGCACGAGCCACTTGACGACTAGTCTTGCGCTCATTGACATCCCTATTGAAGATTTGCCCTCTTATTAGAGTAGAATTCGAAAAAAAAAAAAGGGCATTCAAAGTCTCGAGTCCCATTCGCGGTAGGTTGTTACTCTTTTCTTGGTTGATTAGACTGTTGCAGACTCCATGTCAACAGCTCCTATTATTTTGAGATTGGGTCAGTGGTTAAAGGAATTCATTAACGCGACCAGGCATTTCACGTGTTTCATTGCATCCATCTCAAAAAGCCACTCAAGAAAGGATGTGCAAAACCATCTCCCGCGTCTTCGAACTGGGTAGCAAAGCTCAGGAAGACCATGGTTCGACATCACTTGTGACCTGAGTGGTTACAAGCTATTCCCTTTTATTTTTATTAGTCAATGAAAATCTATAAACAGGTTCCTCAGTTGCATTGGCCAGACATTTAGATTGAGAAAGAAAATTTAGCTGCACTTGAATAGATAAGGCAAGAGAAAACCAGTCTCTCAAAAAGAAACAAGTAAACGAAAAGAAAATGAAAACCAAAGCATTTGAAACTGAACGGGTAGATGTAGAAAGCTATGGAATACTGAATGCAAAATTTAACAACAGTCAACAATCATGTGGAGTTCAGAAGAGGATAAAACACACCAAAAGACTAGCAATTGAAATATCTAAACTGTTGCAGTTAAATAAGTTTTAAGGCACTAATCTATATTACATTTCCAATGGGCCCTCTTGTGGACTCGTCCTCCTTTACTATGCAGTTGAACCTCCGGTCTGGTGCAGCATGGCATCTATCTCATCACCTTCCTCCATCTCAAGCTGTAAAGAAAGAATGCAATTATGAAGCTTGAATAGTTGAGAAAATGTGAACATGAGCATGTACAAATAGAGAGAGGGGGGGACAGAGAGAGAGAGAGAGAGTATAGAGGAACAGTGACCTCATCAGGAGTCTGCTCACCTTGGAAGGGACTACCATCAAACAAAAATGCAACTGAAACTTTATGTATTTTGGTGTGTGAATAGAATGTGAAAAAATGAAAAGATGTGGATGTGAGCGTGTGTGGGAGAGGGAGGAAATTTGACCTCGTCCGGAGTCTGCTCCCCCCGGAGGCGACGCCCATCAAACAAGAATGCAATAGAGTTAAATTCCACAGATTGCCTATCGCAATAAGCATTCATGAGCTTTTTCAGCTGTGTGCTTCTCTTAATTCTGAAAACTACTTCACTTCCATCCTGCATAAAGTAACTAGATTAGGCAGCTCTATGAACAAATATCCATGCATCAGAATAATAGAATGTAGAGAAACGCCACTGTCTTCACCAAAAACTTGAAAGCCTTAAATTTACCTCATCCTTGATAACACGTGTGAACTTGCCAACATGGTCATTAACAGGTAATCAAGTGTTCTATAAGGCTAAAAAACATACTATTCTCAGACTCTTACAAAAGAATATGTTAACATCCATCGTAGCATCATAAAAGGCCTAGAAGGTAATCGTTTTTTAGTTACGTAACATTATCCATGGGAATAAGAGTGTTATAATGTTAACAACAGCAACAAAAATAAATGAAGGAAGTAGACACAAGTAGTTGTATCGTTATAAATCAGGCACACATATGCATACATAAATAGGGTGATTGAAGATTGTGGCTGGAAATAAAAGAAAAGGAAATGCCTTCTATATCACTTGAAAGAGAAATCAGACAACAAAAAATAAATGAGCAAGAATAATTCAGGTGGGCCGATGATTAAACATGGCTTCATTCTGGTAAGCAACTGGAGAAATGGATCCCGTATAAAACTCACATTATACGTACACTTCTTTAGTTTCATTTTTTAATTTAAATCCTCTTCAACAAAATAACTGGCATAACATGATTCAAAATGAGGTTTGAAGTGGACTAAAGCAACCTACAGTCTAGAAACAACCGAATACTAAGAGCATCTTTACTGTCAAGAGAATTATGTTTGCTAAACAAATTTCATCTTCTAAAAAACGGAGGAACGAAGGAAGACTTCACTCAGCCATTGACCACTAATCCAACAACAGAAGGGATAAAAAGAGCAACAAATGAAGGGTTAAAAGGTGCATAAAATTGGCTGATCAGGATTTTTTGAGGAACGCGATTTTTTGGGGGTGGTTTTTTGGACTGGGAAGAATTTTGAGAACTTTTTGGTGTTTTTAACTTCACTGTCAAGAAATTTCACCTTCACTAGGGCTAACAATAGGTCAAGCTATAAAAAGTCCCCGTATGAAACACATTACATAAATCCTTCATCAGTTGATTGATTTCATATCATAACTCGCAAAAAACTCATGGCCGAAGTTTCCAGAGCAACAACACTCATTCTAAACATTCCTATAATTATAGGCACAGCAAAACTGAACCGTAAAACCTACCAGTAAGACCCCTAAGAATCAAAATATCTACTATTAAAACAACATAGTAAAACCTTGAATATGGGTATAAAAAATACATTGTTCTAAAATCCTACAAGGAACTGCACGCTATCCAATTGAATAAAAAACATATAAAAAAACATTTAGAAGATTGGATGGAAAATGGTAGAGGTAACTACAGTAATACAGTAGTCACACTAGAAATTAATTACATGCACGGCAAAACTAATGTGTATACCTATCCACTAGGGCCATCAAAAAACAAACGATTTGCAATTTAAACATAAACAAAACCTTAAAAAGGGATCCAAAATTAACATTGTTCTAACACCCTAGTGTCGTGGTACTTGGAAGAGCCCGTCCACAAAAGCTAGCCAATGTGGTTGGAGAACCCAAATATAAACCCCGTAGAGGAAGCCCATACTTCCGATGTGGGATCTAGATTCCCATAAATCCCACTAGAAATCATGACAAACCACCACGCTTTGACTCAGTGTCCACGTCGAGCAGGTGCCCATACACCCTAAGTGGTAACCGAGACCAGAAGACATGATGCCTGCTATGATACCATTGTCATAGTAAGAGCTTCCCATAAATCCCACGAAATCATGACTCCTAGAAACAAATTTCACACTGATCAAGTAAATCAAAAAAAAACATACCGCATGAAAACATTTATAGAATAACAAATACAAAGCATTCAAATGGGGAAAAAAAAAATAGGGCACAAGGAACAGATAAACGATTCAAACCTGGCCTTTGACTTTAAGATTGATATGGATCGACTGATCACCAGGCTTTTTGTCTTCGTCTTGAGAGACACCTGACATGTTCTCCTGGCCGCCGATTAACGCCTCCGCCGGTCGCCGCTGCTTTGAGGAGTGAATTTTCTACTGGCGCTGTACTGATGTTTTCTGCCCTTTCAACGAGTGTCTAGACATATAAGAATAGAAAAAATGGGAATCAATCAGGATTCCGGACGTTACAGATAGACGGCTGAGATGGATTTAGGTCTGATCCGACGAACAAAATTTGTGGTTGAATCTTTTCAGAATTATAATACGGCGTCGTGTACAATCCATTTTTGGGCTTGCGTAGGAAAGACGCTGCGTAATATGTAAGCAATTAATTAATCAATCATGCTACACTTACGTAAGAATGGTTTACCGGAGGGTGGTTGGTTAACAGAAACTCACACAAACGCAGGGGGTGAATTTTTTTTATTTTTTTTTCATTTTTTATTTTGGTAGGTCGCACACATATGAGAGTTGGTGAATCTTCCGTGAACAATTCTTATGTAAATGTGGTTTAATTCTTATCTCCCGTTTGATCCACATTATTATCTCATTAAAATGAAAAATATGACCGTTATTTATCATATCAACATTTAAATTCAAATTTTATATCTCTTATATGGACCCCAATAACGACTATATTTTTCATTCTCATTCTACAATAATTTGGATCAAACAGGGCCTTAATCAATTGGCTGGAAAATGGAGGGATTGAATTGGTGGAAATTTTTCAAATGGTCCCTGTACTTTGGAATATTCACAGATCAGTCCACCAAGATCCACAAACAATTTGGGAGTGGAAAAATCTTTTTTTTTTTTTTAAACTTTTTTTATTGTTTTAATTATTGAGATTTCAAGATTTTAATAGTTTTAGAAGTAGAGTAATTTTATGAATTAAAAGAAAGGATTTTTTTTTTAAAGCAATAGCCATATTGCTTTTTTTTTTTATATATATAGAAGTAGGAAATTTATACATGGTTGTTACACACGGACAAATATGATCTAGATTTTAATTTAGATAAAAATTAACAACTAACTTTAACCCCATATTTTATACGTCTCATAACTTTTCAACCATAAATTTAATCTACTTTTATCAAAATCTAATTCTATTTCTCACCAAATAGGGGCATAGCTGCATAGCAAATGAAGTACGAAGATGAAAATATTTTGGAACATGTGTCATTTCAAAATTTTTATTGGGAATTACCAATATATCTATAAGCAATTGAAGAATGACTACTAGGTGAGATGTTAATCTAACAGTGATGGATCAAACGTAGGGGTGGCCAGGCTCGATCAGTAGACTCTCGAGTTCAACTCTTGTCCAAATCTAAAGCTCAACTCGACCCTTTACTCATGGACTTCACAAGCCGAGCCAAAAGGAGCCACCCATGAGCCCAAAGGAGTCAAGTCGAGCCATCTACAAGCCACCTCATTTTATAGGTTCAACGGAAATATTATCTACATACTGAAAATTTTCCAAACGTCAAACACTCTCGAGGGATTTTGAATGTCTAAAACATCAATAAGTTGAAATATGATTCGATCCGTCAACAATATACTTGGACAAGACATCCCCAAACTTATAAAGAATTTTTGGAATCCGTATGATTAGAAGTGCTTCTATTTTTATTTTTTATTTATTTTTGGTGAAGAGGTGATTTTCTTGCACATTGGATTTGTTAATATTATTTGATTAGTTGATACTCGAGAGATCTTGACATACAAGTACAACACTTTTGCGTTCTTCCTCTTTAATAATATTTGGAGTCTTAAAAAACATAATATTTGCATAAATCTTGATTTTTGATTAAATGAAATCAGGGAAATGATTTAATCTTAAATTAATTGATAAAACTCTTTTAGTTTAGCCAAACATATCTCAAATCTATTCCTTCTTTCCACGTCCGAAGCTAATGTTCTTTACTTTTTCTCTCCTCCTTAAACCCTACCTCCTCCTCCTTTTCATACCTCTACCGCCATTCCGTCTTCCCGAATTAACCCTCTAATAAAATTTGAATTACAGAATAGTAACGGATCCACTCAGCCATGTCGGTGAGCAGAATAACGAGTCGATTTTCAAGGACCGTGTTGACTCAGTTCCGCAACCCGCTGCTATTTTGCCATTGTCGTGACCACAAATATATTTCCACTCTGTCCAATCAATTCCTGTTCCCCCATGGCCCCCGTAGTACGGTACTATTTTTTTGTCATTTAGTATTTAGGTAGGGTATTAGCGAGTGTTTAGCATAATTCTATGCATTAATTTGATTATCTGATTTTTAATTCCAAGAAGATTTTTCTAATAATAATGCGGCATTTAAGATTAAAATTCTGATACTAAATCATGAAGTTTGGCTTGTTATAAGTGTAATGGTTATACATGAAATTGATGATCTTGATATAATAAATTATAGTTTCATACTTTTTGTGCCTTTAGATGTTACAGTTTTATTTGAATACGGTGCCTTGCATTTCGACGACGATTTATTAGAGTAATCAACTCTAAGATTTTAGCCTTAAGAGGGTTCTGTTTGTAGAGGTTAGGCTACTGCGAATTTGGCTATTTCCATTTTAATTTTTGGGCCATTCATTTTTAGTCCTACCGTATTCATGATTCTTAATTTCTTTAATTATTTTGTTCTTATAAGCTTTTTATTTTCGCCTTTTAGAATGCATGCTTGTTCATTTTTAGCAGCTAACTTTTTGGGTGTCCTTGATTATGCTTTTCTCGATTTATTGCTTGCATTGACTTCCCCACCTGTAGTTTCGGAGATAGTGTAATGAATTTAGGTTTACTTACGTCAGGCTGCACAATATGTTGTGCGACTTCACTTAGTTTATTGTGCAAGTCATCTGAGTTCTATTTAGTGTTTGTAGTACGAATCTGCATGACGGTTAAGGATAGATAATGAAATGCCTTCTTGCTTGTGTTTTGTGAAGCTTTCAAGTTTATTTCTGCATTTCTGGTATTTTACCCTGTTTCAATTAATTTCCCTGTTTGATCCCCATTATCCAATAATATTTTTTTTCCCATACTCATTTTCAGTCACACATTTTATTAATAAAATAATTTGCACTTAAATTCAAAATTTTTCCTTACTTTTAACCACACATTCTAAAAAAAATCACTATTTTCTTTTTAACATTAAAATGGGGCTCAAACAAGGGCCTAGTTTCTAGATTGAACTTGAATTGCTAAGAGAATAACATAGGAGTAATCTTGTGAAAACTACTGTATGTCTTGGTTTTCTTAAAATATAAATCAAAATATTCTATCTGTAACTCCAAATGCTTAATTATAAATCTCAAAAGTATGTTGGGAGTACATTGAAGGTAGCAGCAGTCAAATTGCTATCAATGGATGCCTAGCTTGCTGTGTTGCGTGTCTGTGTTCTATTTTGAAGCAGGTTACATGTGATACTCATTGGTTCTTCAAATCGTCTCATACTCTAAAAGTTGGCTTGTTTTGAATCTTTTGATTTGGTCTAGCATCTCACTTAGGGTATGTTTGATGTATATTATTGAGGAAAGAATATATTTTAAATAGTGATATGATGGGAAATATGTAGTTAAAAACTAAGGGAAAGTTATTGATGTGGGAAAATATTATTTTATTGAAGAATGTGTAGTTGAAAATGAGTTTTGAAAAAATGTATGTCAAACAAGGGCTTAGTTTGTATACAAGATTCAAAAGCACCTTTAATGCAGCATCAATACAAGAATTGATGGCATTGTGATGTCTTAAGGGTATTTTGTATGATAACCCTATCCTGTATCAGCCACACCAGCAGCTTTGTATTTTGCATTGGTATCTTGCTTGAGTTACTTTAATTTTTGATAGTGAAATTATTATTTCTCCAGAAATTATCAATATTAAGGAACTCCATGCATCTTGCAATGCAGATGGTCTCTGGTCAGGTATCATTGCTGCTTCAATCAGCCCTAAATTCATCCGTCTTTCAATCATTTGGATTTTCTTCATCAGCGTACCCACAGCCCAACGAAAAGGAGACGGCCCAATCTGGAAATGAACAGGAAGATAAGGTAGAGGGTGCAGCTGCTGATCAAACAGAAGCATCTGCTTCTGATGAAAAAAATAAGTCAGGTTTTAATGCGAAACCTCTCAAGCATTCAAGAATGTGAAAAATAGGAGAGGTACTAAACAAATTGCATTTTCTAATCCTAATTCAGATTTGCAAAGTGACCTAACAAGAGATGACCTGGTGAAACTTGTGGTGGAGAAGGAAGAATTTCTGAAGCTGAAAGAAGAAGAGCACGAGGAAATGAAGGATAAGGTTCTGAGGACTTACGCAGAGATGGAGAACGTAAAGGAACGCACTAGACGTGAAGCAGAGAACACAAAAAAATTCGCCATTCAGGTTTTCCTTTGTATTTTAGTTTACATTACATGTTTCAGGAGGAGCCACAGGATCCTTGCAGTTCTTTAGCGTGTTTGTGGGAGTCTTACTCTAATGTTGATTTGAATTATGCTGCAGAATTTTGCAAAAAGCCTTTTGGATGTGGCAGATAATCTGGGCAGGGCTTCTTCTGCTGCAAGAGAAAGCTTTTCAAAGATTGATACATCTAATGATGTTTCTGGGGCTTTTCCACAACTTAAAACACTTCTCGAAGGTGTTGAAATGACTGAAAAACAACTAACAGAGGTATTATAATTGCTGGCTCATAACATACTGCATCCTCTTCCTTCTTTTTAATTACGTATGTTCCATTGTCTTGCTTCTAGAAAAAAAGTATTAGTTAAGATAATATGTTGGACTCAAGGCTATAGAGACCAAGCAAGCAACTGTATTGGATCACTTTTTGGTCTGTCGCCATCAAATTTCGAGACCCACGGCAATTCTGTTTGGATGATACATGTGACCAAAGAGTACAATCAATTGTAAATGATGTTTTGACAAAAGACACCATAATAAAACATGTATTAGTCATGACAACTGTATATCCTCCATCTTCTTCGGATATATTGAACTCAGTTGATGTGTGCCACCTGTTTAAATTCTGTCATATCCTAGGAAGTCTGGGTTATGCATCCAGTCCTCAGGGTGTGATGAGCTTTGTCATCAACATCCATAACCCTATTAGAATCGTTCCCTGCTGCATTTTACAAGCTTGTCATCTGCAGGTATTCAAAAAGTTCGGAGTAGAGAAGTATGATCCGACCAATGAAGAATTTGATCCAAACCGACATAATGCTGTGTTCCAAGTTCCAGATGCGTCAAAGCCAGTGGGCCATGTTGCGGTTGTGCTAAAGGTATATGAGCTGCAATAAGCACACAATTGTTCTCTTTATCATTCTATGTAGTGTAGGGCTGTTTTTGGAGAACCAGGAGGATAGAACCGCTTCTGAAAGATTGTGAATTCTCGACCTTCCAAATGGTGACGAGTCTTGATGCTGTTTTGTGTCCTTAAATGCAGGCTGGATACATGCTGCATGACCGAGTTATACGGCCTGCAGAAGTTGGTGTGACGGTGGCAGTAGATGGCGAATAAGCAGATAAACTATCCAAAGCCTAAAGGAGTGTCTTTGCCCATTCCCTCTACAATGTTGAAGAAGTGCTTGTCCGGCAAATGAATCGAGAATGTATTTCAAGTGCTGTTTTCAGTACACAGATGATGGAACCTTGTTTTCTCCTTTTAGATTACCTTGTTGTAATTTTAGAATGGATTTAGTAATGGTTCAAATCTTTGAGGACATTCATGTTGATGCATTGTTTGAGTACGGAAAAATTTTCCCGCGGATACCATGAGAATCTATATCAATAAGGTATGTTGTTGATGTTTTCGAACGTGCATTATAGAATATACTCTCCTGAGATGCTATATACATTAGAATAGATAATATTGTAGTTTCATTAATCATGTACATAGCACTCTAATCTAGCATACCAAACACACTGAAATACTCTTGAAAACAACAGCAAGTAGTGATGATCGTTCTTAACCGCACTTAATTTGTATACCAAGAGAAACACGCCATTGTCAATACTGGATCTTAATTACAAGGCAGAACCACATTCTTCTGGCAGACCCTACACAGCTGCACGACATTCTTCGGGTTGGGGAGTAACAATTTTGTGCCGGTATGAACTTCAATGTGACTCTCTCTCCCCAACTTAGTTTTCTTCTTCATCATCCAAACTTCTGTTTGAATCTGATTGACCTTCACTCATTTCCTGCAATAGAAATGGAATCTCGAGAGAGTATTATAGCATTACATATTGCCATATTAAAAGAATTGATAAACTATCACTTCCTTGCAAGACATATTAAAAGAATGCAAATAAACCTGAGATTCTTCCTTAAAGACATCTCCAATGCTAGGATTTTCAAAGATGTCACTTCCTATGTTTGCATTGGCTTTAGATTCATTCTCCTTGCTTGTTCTGCCTTCATTGCAAACCTTTTCTTGAACTTCTTTTTTCTCCTTTTTAATTGGAACAGTCTGCAGGGCAGCTTGATTAATGACCAAATAGTTCACAACTGATTGTCCAAACAAGGATGCGTTTGGCATGCAGTATTGAATTGGACTTTGTGTAACAATCTCATTTTTAGCTTATTTTTCCAAACGCTATCTAATCCTCCTTATTTTTTTACTTAAAAGATATTTTTTTTACCTTTGACAACAAAATTACTTGGAAAAATGAAATCAAGATAAAGGTACTAAAATAGCAGTCCTAAAATATATAGCAAACTAACAAAAGGGGGAATTATAAAAATGTAGAGGAGACTCTCCGTAGTGGAAAAACCCCATTTACCGGAGTGTATCGGAAGCGGCGCTTGGGAGGTTGATCAGGGTTGACGGTGTCAGCAGTGGCAGTAGAAGAAAGCGGTATCCACCGGCAGAGGAGGAGAGGAGGGGTGTTGTTATTCCGTTTGCCACCATGGCCATCGCTGTTACTGGACTGAGAACTAACCCACTGCTTCTTCCACTTTCTAACTGGGCCGTCGAACACCGGCGGCGGTTGGGTTAGACAGTACCTCGAGGAGGCCCTGCCTAGTCTCGTCCCTCCTTCCATTTTTTGTCTCCGTCGTTTTTGAAATAGTAAAGAGGATGTGTGGGTAGTGTTTGAAGCAGAAATATCCTGAAGCAAAGAGAGTGGCACTGTGGAGCTTGAGAGATGTCGCTTTCTTGGAGGTAGAGCTTTTTCGCACTTTTTGGTTTCTACGTTCTATTGAAAGGTAGGACGAGGTTCTTGAAACACCACCTTTTCAACCCCACGCCAAAGTGTAAACATTTGATTGTTTTCCATATTTTCATAATTACCCCTTAAGGATGATAGATTGAGAGTAATGGGTGGATGGTCAGTGTTCTAAGTATTGTCATTTGAATGATTCAAAGTTCAACATATTGTGCTTTGCGTACATGGTATGATCAAATATGCGTATAGGATAATCCTATCGAGATATTTTTCGATCTAACTGAGGATACACTTTGTACAGGGACGGACCTACACATGGGCCTACAGGGACACGTGCCCCTGTAGATTTTGGGTTTTTTTTTTAAATAAAGATAAAAAGAAAAAAAAAACTCAAACCTACCCTTTCATTCTCTCCACTCTCTCCAGCAGCCCCATCGCCCCGATTTGATCGCCTCTCTCCAACAGCCTTGCCCCGATTCCTCTTCTCCGTCCCCAAAAAATCTGAAATTAAATCCCTTTTTGCTTTGCTTTGCCAACGACAATGATGAACTTTGCTTTGCCAACGTGGTAGACACAAGTTACAGCTTACAGGTAGTTTCCATTTCATCATTCCTTTTATTCAACATCTTTAAGAAAAAATTAAAGAGTTCACACGACTGTGTGCAGGTTTATAGAGTGTAGAATGCCTACCTGTCTGCTGTCTCCCATTCCTTTTATTTCATCATTGCTTTGACGAATGCACCTGGAAATCTCCAATTAACATCACCACGGGTGTAAAAAGATATTGTGAGTGCTATTGCTTCTGAATATCTAAATGTGATTATGAAAGATGTTCGTAACAGACTAACAGTTTTTTTCAATCTTAGTTGATGAATGTAGAGACATTTTAGTTAAGGAGCAAATGTCGGTTGTCATTCGTTATGTGAAAAATGGTCATGTGTTGGAACATTTTGTTGGTGTCCATCATGTTTCTAGTACCACAGCTATCTCACTTAAGACTACAATTGATCAATTATTCTCAACTCATATCTTAAGTATATCTAATTTGAGAGGTTAAGGATATGATGAAGTTAGTAATATGAGAGGTGAGTATAATAGCCTAAAAGCACTTATTTTGAAAGAAACTCGAGTGCATATTATATTCATTGCTTTACTCATCAACTGCAATTAGCTCTTGTAGTTGTAGCACAGAAACATCCGAAAATTGAAACTTTCTTCACTACAGTACACAAATTGGTGAATGTTATTGGTGGATCGACTAAATTGAGTGATCTTATTCGAGAGAACTAAATGTTGAAAGTTCTTGAATCAATCAGTGTCGGTGAATTATCAAGTGGACGAGGTCTCAATCAAGAAACTACTTTTCAGCGTTCTGGTGATACACGTTGGGGCTCTCACTACAGTTGTTTTATTAACTTGATTGTCATGTTTTCAACCATAGTCGACGTTGAGATGATTGCTACAGATACTACAAGTACCGGAACAAGAGATGATGCTTGTATTTTATTTGAATTGATATTAAAATTTGAATTTGCATTTTATCTACATCTGAAAAAGATTTTGAAGATTTCAAATGAATAGTCGAAAGCATTACCAGGAAAAGATCAAAATATTGTCAATGCCATGAGATTGGTGCAATTATGTAAAGTGCGGCTCCAAAGGATGAAGGATGATGAATGATAATCTTTTTTTTTAAAATTATTTGTTTGTTTTGTGAAGCTCAAGGGATCAATGTTCCCAATATGGATGATATGTCCATAACTCTAGGTCGTTCACGACGTGAGACAGTAACAAATTTGCATCATTATCGTGTGGAAATGTTTTATGCTATCATTGATATACAACTTCAAGAGTTGAATAATCGTTTTTCCGAGGTAAATAGTGACTTGCTCATTTATGTTGCGTGTTTGTCTTCAAATAACTCATTTGATGCTTTTGACAAGAACAAAGTGATTCGACTTTGTCAGTATTATCCGCTAGATTTTGATGCAGCAGATATATCAGAACTTGATGATCAACTAGATACATATATTCTTGACATGCGCACCTCCTAAGATTTTAAAGGATTACAAAACATTAATGATCTTGCACAAAAGTTGGTTGCGAAGAATAAACATGACGTGTATCCATTAGTGTACAAGCTTCTGATATTACCTTAGTTTTTCCCGTGGCTACTGCTACAGTCGAGAGATAATTTTCTGCGATGACTTGTGTCAAAAATCGTCCGCGCAATCGAATTGGAGATCAATAGTTGAATGATAGTTTGATTACGTATATTGAGAAAGATATATTTTACAAGATTGAAAATGATGTAATTATTGAACGTTATCAAAATATGAGAACACGTAGAGGACAATTGTAATAAGATATCTCTTACTTTCATTTGTTTGTCACTTTGTGAAAATTATATTGTGCCCCCCTAATTTCGAAAGTCTGCGTCCGCCCCTGACTTTGTACATAGTGTGGAGAAAATTCTCTTATTTTTTTTTCTAAAGGCACGCGTGACCTTTTTATGATGATCCCTTGCATAGACCATTATTCAGATATAAACATAAAAAATGTGCTTTATCATACAAGTCAATAGAGAAATTAGGGTAAATTGCCGCAACATTTTCCAACCTTTCCATTTGTTGTACTTCCATCTCCAATTTTCTTTCTCAACACGTGTTCCCAACCTTTGAGAAATTTGCAGCATTCGTACAATTCTCCATTAGTCAGCCCCTTTCACAATCAAATTTTAAAATTGTAAAGGGTAAAATGGTCATCTCATTATTTTTAATTACAATGCTAAAAATTCATAAAAGAAAACAATTACTAGTAGTAGCTGATTTTCCTTAGATTTCGACTGCAAAAACTTTCTATTTTGCCCGAAATCATCAATGAATTTGGAAACCCTGTGATCGAATTATCGAACCTCCATTTTTTTACTTCTCCCTCGTAAGTTAAATTATTCAATAAATTGATCTTTTTTCCGTTCTTCTTTTCTATTCTTTCCATTGCCTGTAGTATAAGGAAAGCTTTAAAAGAATGAAGGATAATTACTCTTACTTTTCTTTCTTTAACATTTATTCATTTTTACTCAATATCAAGTCCTAGCCGTTAGCAACAGATGCTAGATAAAATATCGAGGTTGTGAAACAAGTATCTCTATTTAGCATATGCTTTGGTTACTCTTGGACAATGTTGAGAAACTCCAAGGCATCGTTGTATGAAATGAAAATGACTAGGTAACCAAGTTATTATTGGTTAATAAGAAAACATGGGAAAATCCAAAATATGAATTCATCCAGTCTGGATGTAAAAGCCATCTTCATTGATTAGACGATATTACCAATGCTTAAAATCTTACGAGAATTCGTCCAGTTGGAAAGCACAAAGGTATCCTTTATAAATTATAATTACTTCGATTCTCAAGTAAAATACATCATCAACTCGGTATCTTTCTTCCAGTAGAAATGGATGCAAAATCCTATGGTTCTGGGCAAGCCAGTCCCAACAGATTAACCAAACATGGAGCTGATGACAAAAATGGCAGTCTAAAACCACCGGTAATGAACTTCATGAAGGCAAAACGCTTATGGGCTGCCATGAAAATGAGCAAAAAGCAGTCTCATGGACAAGAAAATCAACAGCAGGAGCTACTTTCGAAGAATACGCAAAAGGTATGTGTAATATACAGTAATAGACAGCACTGCCCAAGAAAACAAATTTCTAACCATTTTGTTCTACTTCAATATTGTGACAGTATCATCCAATCCAGCCTAATAGTAAGGTGGTAACTCTACGGGACAGGATGTTATCCTCACCAGGTTTCAACAGAAGCTGTAACAGCGGAGGTGATTTACATTATAGCAGTCTAAAAGGATCGTTGATGAAATTCATGAAGCCAATACGATTATGGGATGCGATGAAAATACGAAAAAAGCAGTTTCATGGACAAGAAAATCAGCAGCAGCTTGTGAAGAATACCTGTAAGGTAGTAACATTGGAGGATTGGATTTTATCTTCACCAAGTTTCAGTAATAGTAGCAATGGAGGTGATTTACATGTATCTAAACAATCTTCTAATAGAATCCATCCATCATTTGATGGAGAATATGAAGATTTTGTGCCTAACTCTAGAACAAGTTTCCCTGTGGTGACTCCAATGGAGATCGAGAAAAGCGAAAAAGGGCAGTCCGAGAATACCTCATTACGCAGAAACGAAACCGGGAAGTTGAAGAAGAAAGTAAGCTTCAGAAATCCAGAAGTAGCTGATGTATTCCTGCTGGAATCACCACAGACAAACTTGGCAGAACGAACGGAATATTCCTCGTCTCCTGTAGGACTCCAACGATCAAATCAGTTTAGACAACAAGAAAAATAGAAAATTAAGCAAATGTGTGTTAGCTTGCTTGTGTTTCCTTGGGTGTTGTACCATAACTGCATCTTTACTTGGGATTGTCGAAATATGATTTCTGTCTATGTGTAGGGGGAAACACGAATTGAATATGGAAGAGAGAGCAAACGCAATAGAACATGTTCCCCCAAAACGGGTTAACAAGAAATCAGGAGAAAAAGTGCAACTAAAAACCAAATATGATTCATTTACACATTGGCTGCAAATGAAATATTTAAATAAAAAATTAAAAAGAAAAATGAAAAACCCTTGGCTGCAAATGATTTCTTTATATTTAGCCAATAAATTAAATAATCAGAAAACAAAGGTAAAGACAGGCCTATCACATTTCAATTCTGCTGGGTGTACAGAAACTGTACACCACAGAAACACACCGGGTGGGGCCCGCCATTTTTTGCAATATTTTATTCACCAGTGGAATCTACCTCCATCTGAGATTTCTGGTGCAATTCTGGTGAACTCTTTCCGTTAGAATGGCTTTTTGGATCACCTTTACATCCAACAATACGTACAGCCTTTGTATAGAGAGCCCTAGCACGAAATGGTACAAAGTACGGGCTAGACTACAACAAAAGCTAAATATTGTACAAAACTGAATTCGCCTTTGCATCAAGAGCCCTCAAAAAAAATTCCATTAGCATCCTTAGCACGAAATGATACAAAGTATGGACTAGACTACGACAAAAGCTGAATTCTGCTGCAAAAATGATACCTGCCACAAAAAGTAGTTCATGTTACCTTAATTTGCAGGCTTTATATGTTTCCAATCTTTATTAACTGCACAGAAAATAATGCAGGAGAGAGAGAGATTTGTTCGCTGGTCATATAAAACAACCACAGATTCCATTATAACATATATGTCAACGTTTCTTCCACAGGTAAGAGTAATTCTGATCATTCCTTGATTCTTCTGATATCGAAATATATTATTCATTTGTAAGTTAACATCTCAGTTTTTTTTTTAATTAAAGTTAACAGAGCGTGTAACTAGGAGGATATTTACAGCAATTTTTGCTTGTCTTACCGACCGTATGCTGCCATGTGGAAAAATATTGCTTTGAATAAACCACGCTTTTACAGTAAATACTGATCATCAGACACAAATAAAGCCATGAATCAAGTACCTGATCAAAATTTGAGCAACAGGTGGCACAATAGAATGGAGATCATTGATGATGCTATTGTTAACCCATAATTAACAGGAAATGTCACGAAATAGCCCTTTTGATTCGTCATAAATCCATCTGCACAAGACATATGAATTAAGGTAGATGGACGAAACAACTACCGAAAAAAACAAAAGAAATAGTCAAGGGTGTGATGCAAACGACCCAATCATTGCTAATAAAGAGATCAGAAATGAATCGAACTCCCTACCCCAAATTTTCTCTCCTCTTCAAAAAAGGAGAAAAATGAGTATACATCCCAAGAAAAGAAACTAAAATGTGAAAAACTGAAGGTGATCAATAGAAGTTGGAATTGCCGCTCCTTCTAACAAGATAGACAACTCATTTTTGGATCGACTAGATCTTGTTGCGAGTAACCGTTCATCATAAATATCAAACTGACTCTTCATATATCCCTCCATCTGAAAACACCTGAAGTTTTCAGCTAAAATTCACATCATAACACAATCAACATCAGAGCTGAGAGCCTACAGGTAGAACGTTTCCGATCTATGCATTGGAGGAAGCACAAAAGTGAAAATGCGTTAGGGAACAAGTGACATGGTCTGTCTTAGTTATAATGTAATACATAGTGCCCACAAAAAGACGAGGACGTTGTGATGGATGTTCTTCAGGATTTCAACTATCACTAAATCATATTTATGCAAAGAATACGGAGTCATTACGCACAATCAAGGAATGACCCCCTGATAAAGCTATATGGCATTGTTTGACAAAACTTCCCAGAAGAGTGCACTGATGAAGGTTTTATATTTACAGAGTTACAGATATGTAACTAAGAACTAAAATCAATACATGAAAGGCTTCATAGGAGCACCAGCAGCGATAAAGTGCTCCAAGTGATCATTTGGCTGCACCCTTGAACAAGTTCTCCTCTCACTTTCTTCAGCAAACTTTCTTGGACGAACGACTTCGCATGGACTCTGTATCAGGCCAACCATTATTATGCTAAGACGGGTAGACTCACAAACCTGGAAAAAAAAAATTAAAAAAAAAATAAGAATTACATAATCATATTTATAAGGCAGCAATTCTCCTTACTTATGTGGAGAAAAAGTAGTAATTAAACGACTAACCAAAAAATATATGGTGAAAACTGAAGTTCAAAAGAATGCAATATTTGATGTTTCAGATGATGACATCTAGATAAATTTTTTTTTTTTCAAACTACCTTCAATTAATTAGCATCATATTTATTGAAGAGACTGTCAACCTCTTGTCTTGTGAATTGTGCATGTGGATCATTTTATGATAGGGTATTTTTGAAAATTCATATATAACATTTCCACTTTCAACCCCTTTCCTAAAACTTGTTCATGCCAAAGGGGCCATTCACTTTAAGATGGAGAGAGTAGGTGTGATTTTTAGAAAATTCTACTATCCTCCAACGTACACCAATAATAAATTTTCTCATACTTTAGATCATTTCAGTTCAAAAAGAATCACCTGGGATCATTAACAGACAGTTCTGCAACCAAATTATAAATACTTTAAAAATACAATCAAAGTCAAACACTAATTTAAACCACACATGCATAACTAGTACTCATTTGCACACATTTCGTGGGACCCGCTAATATTCCTCTTCATAAATGATTTATAAATTGGCAAACGGAGGCTAAAATTTCCACCAAATGCAACAGTGACCACTGAAATGGAAAATATACTACAGTTGATTGATCAATTGAGAAGATAGGACCGTGTTGTTCCGATCAAGCACTCTCTTTTCTTCCGATACAGGTCAACAGAGAGTATACTATGGCACTTGAAAGAACCATTTAAAGTATTGCAATCCAACAAAGCCAATATTTTTTAAATTTCCACATTTTGTGTTGACATGTATTGATATAAAAAAGACAGCACACTCCTCACACAAAGTTAATCCTCTTGATTACCCATGCTTAGCCCTCAACTAGAATTTTATGATGAAAAAAAACCAAAAAATAAAAAAAGAATAAACAAATAAATCACCTCCATTCTTTTACAGGCCACATGGATGGCAAATCACCAGGAGAGTAACATTGATGACTTTTACCCACTTCATTCCAGTACTTTTATCCTCCCACATGGCCTGCAGAGATAATGCAAGAGTTTTAATGTGAAATTCATGAAGGCATAAATTTAGCAAACCCATTGTTTTCCTTCACAACTAGAAAGACTAATGACAAGCAGTTCAACATTTCAGATCTGCCCAAGGTGCAGTAGTAATCAAGCTGTTTTGCTTGGACTCGGGCGTCAGATACTTGTACATATCTAGGAATCCAATCTTCTTTTTCTAAAATCTAGGATATGGGGATACATCTAAAAAGGATAAAAAAAGTTAGACGTGAATGTAGATTTATGTACATATAGGTTTATCCCTAACCACTTACCAAAATATAACTCCACATTCCCCATACATAACCACTATTCTTAACTTGTTCTTTGTCAATTATAAACACCATAACTGGCAAATTATAATCTTACAAATTCTGAGTAGCCTACCAAAAATTCCGAATAAAAATCAAACTAAAAAATAAAAAACTGTCTTTTAGAGAGCATCAACTTTTCAGCAATTGATATTTTGGGAGGACGAAATTCTAGCCTCTGTTCTTTCAATTTATTTAGCCACAAATCCTCAATCATACCTCCAAAAGCATCTTGCGGGAACATGTCCTTCGGAGCAAAACCTTCACAGACCTTCGCCAACCTGCAATGAGCATCAGTCATCAAGTTATTCTCGACCTCCGTGGGCCCCCTCCCTCCCCTCATTTTCCCCATAGCCGCCAACACCAACACCGTCTCAGCCACCTTCTTCACATTTCCAATCAAACCCCCTCCTTTAATTCTCTTTTGCCAGAGGAACTTTCAATAAACCTATATCCCCTTCCGCCAGTCTCTTCTCACCCAGGAGACCCACTTTCGATACCCCTTCTGCCAGACTCTTCTCACCAACAACGTCCAATCTTCGTCCAGATCAATCTCCGCCACCAAAACCCCATAAACCACGTCGTTTCAAATGAATTAACGGCAAAATTTTTAGTTTTCTATTAGAATCCTTAAAAAATGTCAAAAACACACCTTTTAGCGGGAAATTGAGCCACAAAAATCGTGTGAGTGAATTAGCCGTAGAGAGCGTGATGGTTCGGGTAAAAACTTGAGCAGAACGGAGAGAGCAGGGGAAATGTGTTAGAGAGAGAAAGGGACGTATATGAAATTGTTGGATTGTTTTCTGTGATTACTGACTTGTTTATATAATCACGACCGTTGCACGATTCGGCTGCGCGGTACTTCCGTGCTCTTATTACACGTTTGCCCTCGCTGAACGCTTAGTCGTGATGTTTAAATAAGCGCCTTACGGGAAATGCGACTATAGCGTCTTCAGTGGAAGATTATATAGTCATATTGCTTTTATCATTATTTCTTTTGTCTTTCTAAATGAAGTTGTGTAATGGTATAATTTTATCACGAAATATGAAAATTGTCATCATCGAAATCCTATTGGAGTATTCAATTCATTGTAATGGAGGATAAAGGAAAAATCGGTAATAGCAGGAAGTAAAGAATGATTTAAAGCAAACACAAATTTATTAAAGTATGACAATCAAGATCACATGCACGCAACGTCCATATGCAAAGTGATGTGTATTGATATGTGAAGCAGCTGTACCACATTTGACGCAAGATAACAACGAGGTGCAAATTTCTATTGAAAACGTCATTCTCGTTGATCTCCACGACTACGAGAACAACATGGTTGATGCAATGAATATTTTAGTCGCCCGAAATTTCTACGCTTAG